GTAAGCCTTTCTGAACACGGTCTTACATTATCAACAACACTTGCTATTAAGAATCAGAGAAGAACCTGTTTTGATGTTCAGAGGAACTGGCTCGACGCGTCCAGCACCTGCAGCATGAGAACATGTTTTAATGCACACAAAACTATATTACACTGCTGTTCAAAAGTTTGGGGTCAGTAAGAATTTTAATGTGTTTTAAAGAAGTCTCTTCTGCTCATCAAGCCTGCATTTATTTGAACAGAAATACAGCAAAAGCTGTAATATTGTGAAATATTATTATCATTTAAAACAGCTGTTTTCTATGTCAATATCTGTTAAACTGTAATTTATTTCTGTGATCAAAGCTGTATTTTCAGCATCATTACTCCAGTCTTCAGTGTCACATGATCTTCATAAATCATTCTAATCTCCAGTCTTCAGTGTCACATGATCTTCAGAAATCATACTAATATGCTGATTTGCTGCTCAAGAAACATTTCTGATTTAAAGCGTCCTTGCTAAATAAAAGTACTAATTTCTAATTAATTTTCCATTTCAAATCAGCATATTATTATGATTTCTGAAGATCATGTGACACTGAAGACTGCAGTAATGATGCTGAAAATACAGCTGCGCATCACAGAAATACATTACAGTTTAACAGAGATTCACATAGAAAACAGATATTTTAAATAGTAAAAATATTTCAGAATATTACAGCTTTTGCTGTATTTCTGATCAAATAAATGCAGGCTTGGTGAGCAGAAGAGACTTCTTTAAAAAACATTAAAAATTTTACTGTTCAAAAACTTTTGTCTGGTAGTGTGTATATGTGTGTGTGTGTGTGTACGTCTGTTTTTGTGCAAATTATATTATGTATATAATTTACATACCTAATAAAACATCAAAGCAACGAAGCAAAACAACAGTCAAAAACACAGACTGACTCGGTATTTAGCTGCACAAAACATGCACCAGTGATTCACTCAAATGAATCAGTGAATCATTCTTCTGAACCAATTCACTACTTTTAGTTCGTAACTTCCCAGCACTGCTCCTAACACTATGAATCATTTTACCTGGGAAATACGGGATTCTCTTGCCGTTGATCTTATAGGCAACGCCAACTTTAATTTCATCCAGAACATCGAGGATGTCCAGTTTAGTCAAAGCAATGCTGAAGAAAGACACAGAACGAACATTAGAAATTTCTAAAAAAATTTACATTTATTGCTGACACAATTTTTCGACATTTTATGCAACATTTGAATTAAAAAAGCCAAATACACATGCAATATAATGAGGTCATGCATGTGACACGCTGCAATTTCTCGTTGCATACTATATCATATATTAAAAAATAATATTCAGTATAGCTCAGTATGTAAGTACTTCACATGATACTCGTATACTCACGCAGTGAATCCGTTGATCATATGAGCGTATTTGAGAATAACCAAATCCAGCCAACCACAGCGTCTCTTTCTGCCTGTGGTCACGCCCACTTCATGACCTCTGGTCTGCAGCAGCTCGCCCACAGCCTGAGGAGAGAGAGACATCCATTACTAGTTAATATATAGATGGGTCAAAGTCGTTAAGATGTCCGCATCAAAAGAAATGTACAAAAGTGATTTTATGTCCATAGAAAGCACATTAAATGTAAGTAAAGTGTCTACTTTTAAGGTTTCAAATAAGTTTTTGGAGGATACAATGTTACAATTTGGTTGAAACAATGTTACATTGTCATTCAGTGTAACACAATATTTATGTAGAAATTCAAACAGCATGCTTATTCTGACGTGTACATATTAAAATATATAAAAGAACAAGTGAGCATATTACATTTTATTGTGTTTTAAATGAGTGAAAACTTCTTACTGACAAATGGGCAAAACCTAGGATAGAGGCACATTTTAAAAATGTAAAATAACAACTAATTAGTATTTGGGGTGAAAGTAATTAGTCTTTTAATATGTCATAAATTGATTTTTGTTGTAAAAATGCCTGACAACATTGTTACATTGAATTACATTTTAGTGGGTCTCTTCAGAAAATTAGGGAAAAATATATGATATATATTTTTTGCTCCGAAAAACAAAAACAAAATTGCAATTAAATTAAACAGAAAACTTTTAATTTTTTTGGGAAAAACAACAACAATTTAAAGCAGTATTACACTTATTGTTTTTATGCTTAAACCCTTTTTCGTCTTTGACCCAGATATATTGGTATCTTTAAATATTTTACTATACATATAAAATATATTAATTATAATAATAAATATAAAAAACATTTGCATAAATAAATAAATAATTATTTAATATTTATATTCATATTTTTATTTTAATT